GGGGGAGAAAGGTGTCTAAAATCAACAAACACATCATTTTCAGTTCTGGTTATGAGTGAAAAGCCTGTCTTTTGAAATTCTCTTCCTTCGCCACCATCTCTTGCATGGCATTCCTTAGTACTGATGATGCACTACCAACACATAAGGCATGTTTACCCAGAAAAATGTTTCACATTCTCTCCATCTCTTTACTTCAATGGTTCAAATTAGCAATGCAATCAACATGAAATCAAGATAAGACTCGTACTACAAAATATAACTGGCACTGTGACATCTGAATGGGTTTATCAAATAAAGACTAATAGTTAATTGTTAACAACCAAGTATTAACAATGGATTCTGTCCAACATTAACCCAAGGCCAGCTGCAACTGAAGTGTTGCCCAACAAACACTAAAATTTTCAGGAATGACTGCCTATATGTTGCTACAGAATAGCATTAAAGAAGGGAAATAAAATTATTAGCTTTAAGTTAAAAATAAAAATATTATAGCTAAATAGAATTTAGACATAATACACACGTAACTTCATATATATTATATATGCATATATATAATATTAGATACTAGGTATGTTATCTGATTGTTTTTTTTATATATACATTTATATATAAGCAAACAGAAAAGGGCCTGATCTGCTCACAAAAAAAGTAATTCCACTAGAGAGAAAAAAAAAAAAAAAAAAGCCCCAGAAACATCTACCACAAAGAAAACTTAAATCACTCAGTACTTGTCCTGAACTAGAACTAAGACTCAAACACTCAAATATTCTGTAGGCTACTTCAGTATATTGTCATGTCTTCTTCATTTGACAAATTAATGACTGAGTAGCAGAAATCCAATGTTCCTTGTTTAAAGTCTATCAAATCACTTTTAGCTTTGTTACTTTCATTTAATATAGAGTTCCTTCTCCCAGGCCTCCTGACATATGATAAAGCTGATAATACTGAGCTAGTGTGCAGTGTAAAAATATAAAAATTGGTGGATACCAACCTGATGAAATGGATCATCTCTGTATTCTTTCTTCACACATGGATTCACTTGAGGGCTTTCTACGTCTGTCTCACTGCTACAGGAAGAGTGGCACTCTGCACAGTGTAAGAGGTCCTCCCACAGCACATCTTCAGTTTCCGATTCTGGCCTCGTACTCTCAGAATCTTGTCTGGAGCTTGAACACCGCGAACTGCAGCTAGTACCTGACTTAGGTGTATCCTGAAATTAAAATTTACATTGGAATTAACGCAGCTTTTTCATTCTGCATTGTTGCCTGACAGGACAGTTATAAAGTTCAAATTTGTGAATCCACATTTACCTGTTTTTTATGTTCCAATGCATTATCTTTCTCATAAGAAAGAATTACATGCTTATTGAATGAGTGTCTAAGAGGTTGCACATTTTTATACACTATACAAACAAGTAACAGTCCATGGTCCCTGCTTTGTTGGGGAGTGGGTCACATAATGAAGAATTAAATCAGATTAAATGTTAAAAGGAAATAACTATTTTACAGATTTTTAGAACTCATTAATTTAGACTTTAACAGCAATTATCAAGCTGCAGACTCCAATTAAGCCTCTTTTAGAACACTTTATAGATTCATTATTTTAGCAAAAATGTGAAAGACACAAGTGAGGCTTAAAACCATGTACACTGCACTGAAATTGTAATACAGAAATACGACTGAGAGCGAGAAAAGTATCATTCACAAAGTAAATTAATTTGACATTTTGATTTTCTGTCTCTAGGTGTTTGAGCTGAAGCACTTTAGCTACTTAACTTCTCCTTACAGTAAGGAATTCTTTCTCTAGAAAGGGCAGGGCCCTGGAGGAAGAAGGGACAGATATTTCTAGTCATCCAAGACCTGAGGCATTTAAATAGCCTTCAAGCAAGTAGTGTGGACACAATTTAACTAATTTTAAAAGAAAGCTTAATATGTTCCAGAAGTACATTTCTAAACATAAGAGCCTGTAATAAAAGAGGAATTGACTCTCAAAATCCCCTACAAATCACACGCCCCCATTGTTACTAACATACCTTCTCAAAGACAGAGTGAGCTTGTTCGAAGACAGTTATGCATCAGATGTAGAGAGGAAAAATAAGCAAGAGTGTACACAGCTACTGCTAGGTATGCGTGTAATCTACACAGTCATACATAAAATTTTAATTATTTCAAACACACTGTACTTGAGAAACAAGCATGCCTTATTATGTCCAAATTTTATCTATCTTAGAAAAAGAAAGAAAAATATTAAGTTTGGGACATTCAAATCTCCCCATGCTTACATATGAAACATTCTAACATCATTTTCAGAACAAGACTGCAGAGCTTTAAACTACTTTCTACAGTAAGCAGAATCCATTTCCTGCAAGACAAGTAGTTAGTCTTAAAAGCAGTACCATCCTACTCATTGCCATCCTCTGGCAATTTCCCCTTCTCTTAACACAAAATTTATTTCCTTCTACTACTTACTCTCGAGAATGTACACAGTTTTTTACACTGAAAAAAAAATTAAGCAATTTTTCAGCAGACCTACTAATTTTAACATGATCGGTAATGCATTACTATCTGAAGAACTGTTCTTTCGTCTTCCTGAAAATCATGCTTAATGTACTTTATCTAAGCAATTTTGCAAAGAAATATTTAGAAAAAATTTGGTCTGAACTCTTTCTTTTACAAAGTGAGGGATAGCAACAAGGCAGAAAGAGTCTGAACTATTTTTTTTCTTTAAAAAAAATATTATTTATTGAAGGAAGTCACTACTGGGTACCACTGAGTCCTGAAGTTAATAAAGAACATTAAAAAAACTTCCTCAAACAACAATTAAGCTGACAAGTAAACATGAAGATAAAATAAAATGGAGGACAGAAGCTGAGAGTATATCCACCGACTTCACTAATTTATTTTTTTTTTAAATACAAAGAAAGCTTTCACAGATTTGACAACTATTGTTTCATTTCCTTTGTAATTGTGTGTGGGGGAGGCGAGTTGGTAACAACGAAGAAAGGCTTCCTCTTTCATGGCATCAGTCAGATAAGTAAATGGGAACAAGTGTAAAATACTACTGCCAAAGCCACCGATGGAGCAAATTTAGTCTCTTCAGTTTCTGAAGATAGAGTCTTCCCTAGCTCTGAAATACTCTATGCAAGAGAAAATATATTTTAGCTGGAAAAAACCTGACTGTAATCATGTGTTTTCGCTTCCTCTTGTCAAGTACTACCAGCTGCACGAGTATACAGTCAAGAGACATCTTCTGTAATATGAAACAAACAGTTCCAAGTAGCGACCTGTTCAGTTATCCTAAACCAAAAATGCATGAGGCATTAAACACTTAAATAAATCAGCCTTCTTTAACCACAGTCTGAGAGAAAAAAATTAAAGATTGTCTAATAATGTTTTTATGAAAAGCATCAACTCCAAGGGTTTGCATTTGTTATCAAAGAAAGCAATATCCAAACCCTTCTAAGAAGACATTTCCCAAATCAAGTTGAAAGCTTACTCATGAAGCTCTGCCTATTCAATCCATCTGTAAGTGGACTTTTGTCAGAACTGAAATTACTCTTTACACTCCTTTCTCATAGTCCTACTGAAAAAATAGCAATACAGCCTTTAAAAAAAAAAAGTTCCATATAGCTGTTAATTTGGATACCATTAGCAAAAAAAAAAAGTTATTTAAAATTATAAACAAATAAATAAAAACACAATAACATATCCCTTTCTCTTTCAGTGTCTGAGTCCTTACAATTAAGGACTCTGCTAATATGGAATCTATGAATTCCCCTCTTCTAAGCTATGCTGTCATCAAGTCTCTGAATTTTTACGCATTACCAATTTTGCTCATATTTCATGACAATATTTTAAATTATTGTTTCAATAAACGTGAGGGAATGAAAACTCAGAGGTAGAGTCAATCAGTCAATCCACAAAAAGTTTAGTGAATCCAAAATGCTATCTAAATGGAGAGAAAAAGCAGCATTAGCATGATGAAAATTTGCATATTGTCAATTACTACAGTTTCTGTAACAAATCAAGTTTCCAGAGAAGATAACTGGTCTTAAAAGACCAGAGTCAGTCATAACCTGATGCAAGATTTATAGAATATATTTTATTTTCCTTACAACAAGCTGAAAAATAGGGGGAAGGTCAAACAAACTACATAAAAACCTCTTAATTTCAAAGCGCTGTCATTAAAAAAAAAAAATATATATATATCTCCCTGTCCCCCACTAGCATGACTTCCAACTGAGAGACTCCTAAAATCCACTACAGGAGAAAAAAGTTTGAAGAAAATGTTTATTCAATAAGAAACCAAAAGGTTTTAACAATTTACAGAAAAGAAGCAACGGCCAAGAACATACCTCCAGAGGATAGTGTTTCTTATAATGGTGAGATTTCCTGTTTCGAAGTGTACAATCGCTAGAAGTGCGTTCCACGTTGCGACGTAAAGAATATCCAGTTTCAGGCCCTTCCTCACTAGAAACTTCATCTGATAAATTTGTCACAGTCCTGTGAGTATCCTGGTACAAGAAATACAGTATTATTAAGACATACACTTATACTTAATAGGTCTTGTTCTCAACTACTGAAATCAAATTTCTTTCTGCAGCACACTATCTCTGCTCTGATAAATCAGATATTAATGCATTTCCAATAATCAAAAGTAAGTGGTACAGCAGGA